ATTCTAGAGTTCCTCCTCCACCGTCTGGTCGTCTCTGATCCACCTAAAGGATCGATAGAGGATCCAGACGACTACGTTTCAATTGGAAATCGAGGGAAGAAAATGCAAACAACGGTCAGAGAGACCACGATGGTGGTGTTCTGAAATCGAAACCCGTCGATTTTCCGCCGTTGGCCACTCGTTCGCAATCGCCGCCACACTTTGTGCATAGATCCACGGGCGCGAGGGGCAAAGAGAATGTCGAAACTGTACGAGGCACGAGGCACGATTGCATCACGGTCCAACACATCGGTGCAACCGTCGCCGTTGCATTACATCTGTGTGTGCATATGTACTTAGATTGGCTCCTATTGACATAGCCACAGAGACAACGACGGTGGTGGGTACAGTCGGGAAAAATCGTTCGCGTTCCGAGTTTCGACCCGCGACACTTTGATCTCCCACACCAGAGGGGCACGTAGATATACACATAGAGAGGGAGACACACGTGGGGACCGACCGATTTTCCATCAGAATGAGTTAATAGGAAATGGAGAAGATCGCCTATCGTTTGAAAATGTCAACATTTTTCGTTCAGGGGCAAATCGATTCTGGCCGATTTCTTTCCGATCCAGCGTTTCGGACATTGATATGTGCGTGTATATTGTGGAAATGTTCGATTAAACTCGAATCCCCGAGCGGAGTTTGTGGACGAAACAACTGTGTTTGCCGAATGGGACGTTCGGTGCATCGCGCGCCAATTTTGCTGATCGTGGTCAATAGACCCTCGTCGCGTACACACCGCTGATAGATTCATGAGATTTCGTGGGATTTTAAGGACACGTTTTTCGGTTTTATTTCGTTCCTTTGAGAAGCTTGTATGGAAATAGCACTGGATGATTAGATTTTTTTTGTGTAGAGCATGGGGTTCGTGGGAAAACGAAGGTGCTTCGAAACCCTTCAGCTGTGTCAATGAAAAGATGGGAATGAGATTGACTAATTCCAATAAATGAATCTGTATATCAACCGATTCGTTATTTGTTCAGTTTTAAACGCAGATAATATAGAAGCTGTTTTGTTTAATTATTAAATACTAGACAGAAATAGGTACCATTTCGTTCGAAGAATAGATGATCATTCATTTTCCATTTTATGTAACTAAAAATTCTTTACACTGTACCCAGATAGCACATGACGCCTTGAAGACGTCCATTTTATCTGGGTAGTTAATGTTTTCGTATTTATTTCACGAAGAATCGGTTGAAAATACTTAGTTCTTTGTTACTTAAAAAATTGTAAAAACTAAAGGACAGAAACGAATAACTCTTTCTGTCTCTTCTTTTTATTTCGTTCAGGAAGTAATTTTGATATTCTTTTCGATTTCGATCATCTCCAGAGAGTGTTGAGGTAGGTTAGGATCGCGACCAGCGCGTGGACTTTCTGCCGCAGCTGTACTAAGCGCACGATGGAATGGTTTTTCTAGCGCGGGCAGTTTTTCTATTAAGCTTCATTTGTTTCTTTCATTGCGTAATGCGCCGGACGCGTCGCTCATTTCATCCTACTGTCGAGCACTCCTACCGTTAGAATTCTTAATCCGGATTGTAGTTTCGATAGTTCCCGGGACGCTCGTCCCTCTCGACAGACTGTCCCGTTCGTAATATAACGAAATAAATAATACTTAGAAAACACTCTCGATTAAAGCACAAGGAAATTAATTTAAATATCATCCCTAGTTTCGTTTGTTTTCGAAACACGTTGTTCCACGGCGATCGATAGTCGTCAAATTTAGCCAGGACAGAAACCAAAGAGAACGAGTCACCCTTTTCCGCACTCGTTTCAACCCTTGTTCACCGACTCGCCACCAGGCGTCACCTCTCCACGGGGTGGTTTTCTCACGAGGGGATGCACCGACGAGGCGGCTATGTACGAACGGCAGGCAAGAATACCTTCTCTCTATTCGTCCCTCGAATTCTCTGAATTCAAAGAATTCAAACCAAAAATCATCTTTCGAAAAACAACACCCCAAGAAAGCTTCTCTCCACTCGTCCCTCGATCTTTCAAAATTCAAACAATTCAAAGCAAAGTCACTCCATGTTGAGACACAACACCCCAAGAAAACTTCTCTCCACTCACCCTTCGATCTCCTAAAATTAAAAAAAATTCGAACCAAAAATCACTGTCCTTCGAAACACAGCACCTCAAGAAAGCTTCTCTTCACCCACCCCTCGATCTCCCAAAATTCAAGAAATTCGAACCAAAAATCACTGTCTTCCGAAACGCAACATCCCCGAAAACATCTCTCAACTCATCCCCCGATCCCCCAAAAATCCAACACAATCCAATCCAAGAAATCAAACGCAAGAGCCTGCCCCTCCCGGAAGCACCTCACAAAACACCACCCCATACACGAAAAGGAATAAAGAAGATAAAGTACATCTAAAAAATTCCATACTCTCAGCAGGAGGATCGTGTACGCGTTCCCGCGGCGAAGCCGTTCAAAGAGTATGTACATATGTATATCGCGAGTGAACGGTTGAACGGCGACGTGGAAAAAGAAGAGCGACGTTGAGGATAGCAGTCTCATCTTTTCTCTCTTTCTTCGTTTCGGGGCCGAGGAGGCGGACAATCGAAAGAAAGAAGGCAAGATCAGGGCCAGTGTAAGACAAATGTCTTCCTACGCGTAACCGTGGCGTTCTATATCAGGGGAGTCGATCGAGTCGATTCAACCGAATGAAAGAGACCCCAAGAGAGACAGACAGACCTGTACCGTGGCGGGAGAAGGATAGAATTGTTGCGCATCGCGCCCCGGCACCAACTGGCCCGCCAAGATGCAAGTGCACAGGCGCATATACACGCGTTCACCGTTGTATATACGCAACGACTCGTTCCTCGAGGTGTATAATACATATACATATACATCCCATTCCATGTGCGTCGGTTGGTTCCGTCCGTGGGCTACAGCTGCCGATCGGGATCGAGGGAGGGAAGGGAGAATCGGGATCGCGGATCGGGATCTAAAATGCTACATGAACGTGTGCACGTACCGGTAGGTAGGTGCAATTGGTCGCGTCGGTGGGCCTGGTGCATATGTGGGCATGCAGGTCTCGCGATCCACCCACCCCTTCGTTCGAACCATGGGCCTCGACTCTCACCTGTTTTCACCCTGCTCCCGCTACTCATTTGTAATTTAAAACGAGCCAACCCTGTCATTTGATCGCTGATAAGGGACACAATGTAGAAGGAACGGTTGCGCCAGGAACTTTTTCATCCTCTTTGGAAGGTTCATCGGAGGTTAACTGTGAAGGATTTTCGTTCACCAGGGTTTCGAATAGTGAGTTTTGACATCTATGGGAAGAAGGAGTCTATCCTCTTATGCTCCGTGGAATCGAAGAATTTTCTTGACTTTAGATGTTCAACGTTTTTATTTTTCGATCCACTTTCGAAGGTTCATCGAAGTCGAATTGTGGGCGACGAGTGATTGTCGTTCACCAGGGTTGCGAATAGTGAGTTCTGAATTGAAGGTACGGATAGATGATGTCAAATGTCTATGGGAAAAATACATATTCAAAGTTCTTATGTGGGACTAATTGTAAATTTCTACCCACCCTCCCCTGGTTGATATCGATCTGGTTAATCAAGGTTCTTCTGTAATTGAAAATCTCTTACCACCACTCTCGCTACAATTAGGCTGCAGATTTCTATGCAGAATGCCATTTTATAAATTAATTTATAAACAAGAGCGAATGTGGAACTTTCTTCCTTCTCTTACATACTTAACTACGTTCAGAATAAAATGAAAAACTCGTTGCATCGGATGAAAATTTTGTCTCCTACAAGCTTATGGGCACATAAATGTATAAGATCCGCAGTCTAATTATCAATGATCCATTCGTATTTATAAGACAAACCCTTTGTAACTACCTTCGATTCGGTCGATGAACCTTGAATATTCAAAAACGAAGTATATACACATAAAATAACAGTCTACTGGCAACAACTGCGCGCGTGTGTTCCCCAACAGAAAATTGAATATTCCAGTCCCAGACGCGCCGAAATAACCCGCGAGACCGATACATCAATGGGGTTACGAAAGGGAAGTGCATACATACTTTCTCCTCCGCTGAAATTCCTACCTCGGTAGCAGCCTGTCGCGGCCGGAAGTTCGATCGTGATCGTGGTACAGGGGCCCTTCTCTTTTCCGTGCACGCACACACCCCCGCGCTGTTTCGCGTGTTTATGCAGATGCCCCGGGCCGAAAAATGCTCGTACGGTTAAACGGACATCTGTCAGATTCGGCTGTAGATAAATACACCGGGGCCAGGGATCTATCGAGTTTGCTCGATCTGACCGTTCCAATGAGATGCGCTACGTTTCGAGACATTAAAGAGCTGCGCCGCCGCCACGGGGGTGGTTTTAGGAAGATCGTGGAAAGTGAGAAAGAAACAGGGTGACTATATGGGGTGGGCCTTTTCACGGATGGTTTGGTCTTAGGTTCACACGCGTAAAGGGTCGTCGATGGGATACAGAGAGAGGATCATTGCCTTCTTGTTGGGTATACTCGTCCACCTGAAGCGTGGTAGACGCGCCTCGTGGCAGGTAGTCGCTTGGAGGAGGGAGGATGCTGCGACGCGTCCGTCTTTGGTGGGGTGGGATTCGGAACGAGGGGGATAGTGGAAGGGAAAAAAACGCCGGCGCGTTTCTCGCCGCCCTCTTGTGGGCCTCTCACACTTCCACGTGGCGTACACGTGGAAAAAACGACGAGGCCAGCGTGGAAAAAAAGTAAAACGGCGCGTGGGGGTTGCCGCGCGCCTGGAATGGTGGGGATGATGCTAGCGAACGAGAAGGAAGGGAAAGGAAGGGACAGAGACACACGGCTCTTCTCCACGGGGGATGGTGGGAGGGTGGTTGAGGTTTCGCCGCGCGCGCGAGGGAGTAAGTGACAGGCTGGGGGAAAAGGAACGAGAGGGATGGCGGAAGAACGAGTGGAGGGGAAAGACGTTCTCGGTTGAGGCTTGGAAGGGATGGTGAAGCTTGCGTCGCCGTGGTGGGGTGGATACGTTAGACAGAGGGGAGAGGCCGGGCAAGAAGTAGAGAATGGGAAGGGGGTGGCCGTCGTATTTGACGAGGAGGGTGCGTAAGACGAGTAGGATGACCACCACCCTCTGGTATGAAATGAACATCGCCTCGGCTACGTTGAAAGTCGACGTCCTCTTGGGGGTGGGGCGGGTGGTCGACGGTTTATCTTCTGATCGGGGATCTTGTCCAGGGGTGGAACGGAACTTCCCTTAAAGATCGAAACTCTAAACTGCATCGAAAGGGACAACTGAAAATCGTTACATACGATAGAATGAGTCGCGTAGTGAAAATCATGGACGTGTCGACGAAGAAAGACAGAAAGAAAAAACGTATTCGATCGAAAGGGGTCGACCTAGTGGGAAGGGATAAAAAAAAAAGAAGCGAGAGCACCGTCCCACTGCCCCTCGTTCTGGTTAGTCACGCGTGTGCGGCCATACGGAGCCATAAGGGAGGAGGCCATTTTTATACGACGGTCCCCTTCTTTTTATTCGTACCTCAGACTGCCGGTACACCCCCTTACAGGGATCTCTCCCACCCCCTCCCCCGTTTCGACAACAATTTTTCGGTCAGTCGAACTTGTCGGTTCGTGACGCTCGCACGTAGTAAACACGGTGGTTGTGGCGTCCTGTACACGGAGACGCGGGAACTTGGTTACGGAGTAAGAGAGACCGACGAAACGACAGAGAGAAACACGGTGTGTGTGTGTATACATATATATATATATATATATGGAACGCTCGGGTGTCGCTAGGGGGTGTCGAGAGAATTTCAAGGCCGATCGCGTAAGAACTGAGCCACGAGCGGAAAAGTCTCGACGGCGGCGCGCGTGTTTATACTCCGCGCTCGTTCAGAGGGCCGTAAGAGTCGCGGAGCAGGCGAGAGGCAAGGGTAAGAGGGTGGTGGTGGCTGAGCATCGGCGATCCAGGTAACGGCGGGACAAGGGATGATCGCGTAGTTCTTGCAGGCCGGCTTATATCCCCTGGTTTGGGAGAGTTTTCTCGGTAGGGAAGGAAGGACAAGGGGGTTGTTAGATGGTAGAGGGAAAAGGCGAGATCGTAGAGAAGGAGGCTCGCCGTGGAACGGAGAAGGGAGACGGACACCGGGCAAGGGGAAGGCGAAAAAGAGGGAAACGATAGAAAGAGAACGGTATCGCCACGGCATTCTCTTTCTCACCCCTTAAGGATACAGGCAGTAGGCTACCCCCGACGGAGACGTCGGCGGAGAATCGTTGGAGGAGCAACGAGAGAAAGAGAGAGAGACAGAGATATAACCCCCACCCACCCACCCAGCCAGGAGGGAAAGCTTGCCGTTCCGTAGGAGCGTTCCAGGGTGACGGAGGGGCTAGAGGGGGTGTAGCCGTAGGAGAGAACCGTCGTGGAAAAGGGGGAGACACAGAGCGCGCGCCTCGACGTTCACCCGGGTTGTCTTGGTGGGGGCGAAGGAAAAGAGGGGTGGCTTGAAAACTGCTGTCCTACGGAAGGCTCAGTTTTTCGTCCTCTCGGAGGTAGATTTTGGCCGTGGGAGGACCGGTCAAGGGTTCCGAAGTCGGACCGAGGGTGACCTGGGCCGGGGCCCGGGTCCAGTCGGACCCTCGTTACGGGGGCGCCTCTTAGATGGGAAACGGCGACGGTACACGGAGGAGGCCGGGGGGGCAGCCAGAAATTTCGCGACCGCGCACCACCTAAGACAACGCCCCTACCTCGAACACGCGTTCTTTAAGGCAACGAAGGGGGTGGCTTTTAGTCAGACGCACGCGGTCTGAGAAGCGCGCCACCACCGGCCCCCGCCGACGGAGAAGGACTTAGCGTTTCTCGCGAGCCGCAGACCCGAGTCAGTTTCGGTTCCTCCTCCGTCAAGGACTCCGAGAACGCGGAAGAGGAGAGAGGCTTTTTCCCCCTTCGGAATATATCGTGCACGCGCGTCCGTTATCGTTCGTCGTCCGTAGTTGTCGTTGTCGTTTATCGTCGTCGTCTACGTGGTGCTACTTCGTCTTCGCGACTGTCCCAAGCCGGATACTGAGAAATCAACGGATCCATCGTCCACTTGCACCCGCTGGCCACAGAGATCGCAGTTTACGTCCGTGCACTTCTTGGCTATACTGGATCGGAACGTGACTGCCCCGAGTGCGTTTCACACAATCAGATCATCTCGTTCACTATTGGGGCTACAACTGATTGTTACGTCGGCCGAGATCTTCTACGATCGTGTTTTCGGAACGTAAGGGAAACCTTGGATTTTTCCGACGAATTTCCACCCCCTGTTTGTGCTCGATCAGTGTCTTGACATCCTAGGCCAGGGAACTTGGAGGAAAAGTGTCCAACCGGTCTTGTGTGCGGATGACAACGTGACACCTCACCCGTCGATTGGGGTTCTATTCTTTTTATTTTTTCTCGCTCCGTGATTTTCGTCAGTTTTCCCCACTTTCAGCCAACCACCGCCGCGATCCACCCCCTCCATCCCCAAGTTCCCTGACATGCCCCGTACACGTCATCGTCGTCTGCAGTGTTTCGTCGCGATCCTCGACGGCTCGATCCTTTCGTCTAAAAACCCGCGATCAGAGCCGCGATAGAATGGAGTTTCTTGATGAAAGCTCGAGGAACCGTGGGATGAACGGCTGTTTTCCTCGTCGCGGGATCAGCTCGAGCGATTCTTCGGGATCTCCGTCACGCGAGATCGTCGACTGAACGAACGTGGATTGTTGACGGACGGAACCGTCGACGACGCGAACGATGGGGATGATATGTTCGCAAGGTGATCAGGAATCTTCTGTTCAGTGACGACCAGACAAGGTCTTCTACATACGTTCTCGATCTTCAGAGGACATTTTTCATTGTGTTGAATCCCGTGAACGAAGAATCTTCCGAAACGTGACGGAGGAATTCTCGTAGGAATCGAATAAATTAAAAATTCAACGAGTCTACCAGAATTCGCAATTGCTTGGAGCGCAAGGAAAAATCTTTGGATTACGTTCACTTCGAAAGTTCAGTGTACCGAAATTGTTCGAACGTTTGGTAGTTTTGATGACCGAATCTGATTCTGGTTTATTCTATTTTTCATGGTTGAAAATCACACCTGACCAAATCTCTTCGGTCGTCTTTTCGTTTTCAATTTGTCTCCCGAAAAGATCTTTCGGTGGCCGAGTGTGACGCGACGGCAAAACGTTCCCGCGGACGCTCACGTGTTATAGGAAACAATCCGCGAAGGAACAATCCCTTCGCGATGGTTTATATTATACGGATATATTAATATATAACCGTGACAGGAAATTGGACGTTCGATATATGGTGAAACGGTTCGTTCACCGGCAGAACAAATCGTAACGAAAGTGACACCCGCCGTGATTTCTGAATTTCCTCCACGATATCCAAGTGTTACGTCGAATTAAATATTTCCAAGCGATATCTTCGTCCCGTTGTCAAATCCTCGGTTTCTCGTTTCGTTTTCCACGATGTTCTCACGCGAACGGAATCTTAAATTTATTTATTTAATGTAAATAAACAGGCACAACCTTTATGTACAAAAAAAAATTAAACGATTCGTTAGGGGTTGAAACGTCGGATTAAATACTTTCCATTCACCGGCTCTTCAATAATTCCGTCTCCTCGATGACTTCTCACCAATCGACTAGACCCAAATGCGACAGCTTGTGTTATGTTATTACAAATCCAAGCGACGAACATGAATTGTAGTTGAGTTTTGTGCAGAAAGGTGACAAAAGGTGTACGAAGGTCGTCGAAAACGAACGATCGAGAATCGGATTCAGTGCGAGGTTTATTAGCGCGAGATCCTTGAAACCCTTGAAAAGTCGCGCGAACGTTCGCCCAGAGTTGCATGCATTCGGTTCGAGTGAAAAATAATTGGTAGTGAAAGATCCAGTGAATGTTTTTTTTTTTTTTTTAGTGTGGATAACACCTTCGTCAAACAAAAAAAATAGCGTTTTTTTTTTGCTTTTCTGAATTGCAGCTTCGAGCGGGAGACGCATTGCAGCAAGAGATTCCTGCGCAGGAGAGGAAGACTGGACGAAGCGGAAGAAGCAGAATAAGACGAGCAAAGCAGAAGAAGCGGAGGAACACAAGAGGAAAAGAAGAGCGAAAGCGAGACGCGTAGAAGCGGGATTGCGACGAGAGTGATTTCAGGAGTAGCGAAGAGAAGAGGATACGAGAAGTGCGAGAGATTAGCGAGAAAGAGACCAGTGAGATCGACAAGAGTGGTAGTCAATCGACAGGTGGATAGATCTGGAAGAATCGAAAGAGAGTAGCAAGAATAAACAGGAAGAGATCGTACAGTGACTGGAAGTCGAAAGAATGATATAAAGAAGAAGATGGAAGCTCGCTAACAGAGAACCTCGCGCCGCATACATATATATTTCAGTGTGTTCAAAAAACGAGTGTACCTAAGTGCAATATTATTAAACCTAAACGATAATAAGAAGCAACCACAACTACCATCGACGATATCGGTAACGACGAGCGGTTAATCGATAATCGAATAGTAATTCCTTTTAAAGAGTTAAAAGATACCCCTAGAGTCGCATTTCGAGGAGGGAAGTCGTCGTGCACGGACGCGATCTCGTTAGAAGAATATAGAAGCGACGAATCTAGAGGGTCGTGTGACAGGCGTAGAACGACAGAAAGCGAACGCTGAGAAGCAAGAACCCGAAGAACCGCGTGAAAATTCATCGAAAGGTGAATAACAGCGATTCGCGGAAATCCTCGACTGTTACCTACGATACACTGTGCGCGGGACCGAGTGACACACACACACAAACACACACACACACACAAACGCGTAATTAACGAAAAAATAAATCACGACACGGCGGAAAGAACTGCCGTCCCGGTATAGAAGAAATCACACCACGTATTCCACACACGGTTGAACGGGCGAGTCGTTTCATCGCGCTTCGAAACGAACACGGACCAAGGGCTCGCGCGTTCGCAATCTCACACACGCACAATATTACAACACATCAACATCGACATAACGGGGCTACGAACTACTCAGGGCAAAACGGGACGAGCAGTATCAATTCGCGAGTGCGCGATTTCCCTCACACGGTGTCACAGCACAGATAGGAGAGACAGAAGAGGAGAAGAGGCACACGACCATCGTTATCGTACTTCGTAGAGATCACGGGAGGAGAATCGCGTCCGCCACGGACTTGTCCTTCTCGTTCACACCGTCCGGGCTGGGCAATCCTGAATTTTAACCTGAACTTAAGTGTATGATAGACTTTAAGTTAGATAGAAGAAAGAAATAGGGTGTTCTCCAGAGTGTCGGGGAACGTCCGCTCGAGCGCGCATCGATTCGCAAATAAACACACACGCATACACACGATACATACACGCACGAACACATAAATTTGCATTAAATGCAGACCAGAGGAAGGAGGAAGTGATAGAAGAATAGAGAGGGAAGGATAATATAAAAGAATCAAGAAAACGCCATACCGCGTAGACGCACGATTAATAACGCGAGTATAGTGATTGCGATACGGGAGACAAGAATTCGACGATAGTCACGAGGAATCATCGATTGTGTATCATCTGAGAACCGATCGGTGATTGTTCGCGTGAAAAACTAACGTATAATACACGGACGAGACGCGATAAAGAGGCTGAAGAGAGGCTCGAGCGTAGAGGCAGGCGAAGAAGAGGAGAAAGAGAACAGCGGTGTGCCGAGGGAAAAGTAGCGGGAGGCAGCAACAGCAGGCCCGGGAAGTCGAAGCAGGTGGCGAGTAACTGACGTTGCCCGCCGCCCACGTCGAGCGAGGATCGTTGTACTTAGGACGATCCTGGGCTAAGAGAAGTCCGAAGCGCGAGATAACGCGTGTAAGGAGATAGGAAGGAACGGCGGCGAGCGCGGAAGTGTGCCGGCCGTCGAGCTGCTTACCGAAAGGGGTGCGAAAAAGCGGGCAAGCTGCGCCGGAAGGGGGTAGCCCGGGCTTCTCGCGAAGGCCTCAAAATTTCGGACGCGACGGCGGCCCTGGACCTACGTGCCCAGACGCAAGCCCAACCGGACTTTGGCTTGGACCATCACCAGCAACAGCAGCAGCAACAACAGCAGCAACAACAACAACAACAGCAGCAGCAACAACAACAGCAGCAGCAACAGCAGCAGCAACAACAACAACAGCCGCAGCCGCCGCAGCAACATCAGCAGCAGCAGGGCCAAAATCCAGAGTCGCGTCCACACCATCACCTTCAGCAACATTACTTTCATCATCATCAGCATCACCCCGGGAATCATTTCCACTCTGGCGATTCGGGGGGTGGGATAGGAGGTGGAGGAGGTGGCGGTGGAGCCGGTGGAGGTGGCGGTGGACCCGGTGGAGGTGGCGGTGGCGGTGGCGGAAGTGGCGGCGGTGGAAGCGGCGGTGGTGTTGCTGGTGTTGCTGGAGGAGGAACGGCCGTATACGAGGCGGACAGATCCGCCAGGATCAAGGCCGAGGACGACGAGGACATCGGCAAGAGGGAGGACGAGGAGGAGGACGAGGATCCTTGCAGCTCCCCGGAACTGGACCTCAAAACCGAGCCGGAACCAATGGAGGTTCAGGCCTCGGCCGTCACCGCGGCGGCCGCGAATCTTCACGCGTTGCGACAGCATGTCTTCAAGATGTCCGATTACTGGCACCAACCGCAACGAGGCCCACCTCAGCATTCCCCGGGGATACAGCATAGCCCTATATCGAACTCTACCCAACAACAGCAACACCAGCAGCAAGTGCCGCAGTTGCACAGTCCGCTCGGGCAGCAGCAACAGCAGCAACAGCAGCAACAACAACAGCAGCAGCAGACAAGCGTGTCGCAGATGCAGCAAACAGCTAGCACGGGATTAGGACAGACCGCTAGTCCGCAGCAACAGTTGCAACATCAACAACAACAACAGCACGCGATGTCTATGAGCCAACAAACGGCTCAGGGAGCACAGCATCAATCATCCCCGGCGCCGACCACGCCGTCCCCTCAGATGGACCATAAAAACGACATCGCGTCCAGCATGGCACAGAGCTTACACAATTTCGCCCAAGCACAACAAACGATGTCGCAGGCGTCGAGTCCGTCGCTAGCCGTACAAGCGGTCCAGGCCGCTCAGGCGGCCCAGGCGTTGAACCAGAACCTGGGACAGGCGCTGACACAAGCGCTGACGCAGAACATGCAGCAGAATCTTGGCCAGACATTGCAGCACAATCTCGCGCAAAGTATGACGCCGAGTCTGTCGCCGCAGCAACAACAACAACTATTGAACCAACCGCAGAACCTCAGCCAGGCTAGTCAGAATCTACAACAGAACATCCAGAGTCAGGCGCAGAACTTGTCGCAGACGTTGCAACAGCAAGCCCAGAACCTGACACAGAATCTCAGCCAGAGTCTTGGCCAACAGGCGCTCCAACAACAAGCGCAAAATCTGACGCAGAATTTACAGCAACAGGCGCAGAACCTTACGCAAAATCTACAGCAACAGGCGTTAAGTATGGCGGGGGGCAGCATCGCCCAGAACGGTGGCCTGGCCGGGATGAACATGTCGACCAACCAACAACAGAATTCCCAGAACTCGATGCTGAGTCCAGGCGGGACCAGCCAGGACTCGCACGATGCCAGCCTGACGGAGAAGCTCGTCAACGAGTTGCAGGTGAGAAACCGCGCGATCGATCGTTTACTTTTCGCTTCACTTTCACTCTATCTCTCTCTCTCTCTCTCTCTCTCTCTCTCTCTCTCTCTCTCTCGCTCTCGCTCTTTCGTCTCCCCACATTTTTTTTATTCTCTCGATCCCTCCGGTCATACTCCGCGCCCGTGCACCCGGAGAGAACGGAGATAAATAAACTGGGACGAGGCGACCGCGATAAAAGTGCATAATGCGCCGATAAATAAGGTCATTCACTTGGGCTGACTGACGCCGGACAATACTTCCAAACAGTTTCGACCGAACGTGAAAAATATTCGTGAAGAACATTGCGAATGTCGGTCCTAACCTTTGAACATAGTAATCTCACACTGTCTATCGTACCTTCCATAGTCCGCTCATAGATCGCGAGATATTCGACCCTAAAACATCTAAACTGCCATCCCACGCGTGATTACATTCCAGCTTACGAGCGTGCTCATCTTTCGTGGCAAATTCGTGACATGTCGGCACATCTGGGAAAAAGAAAGAAATAGTGGAAAATCGTCTTGGGGGTGAGGTCACGACGTCGAAGTCGTCACGGGTCACGTCCAATAGGCGAGCGATTGTGGCGGTCGGGTTTAATAGAATTACATATTCGATCTTCCGTACAAATTCATACATCAACGTGAAAATACGTGAATATATGTCTGAAAAACAGAATAGAAATATCGAAAAACTTTTTATGAGGCTTGGGATTAGGGGGGCGCTGAAATCGTCACGGGCTAGATTCAGTAGGTGAGAAAAGTAGTCGGGCTTAACCGGATAACATCCTCGATTTTTTCTACGAATTCATTCATCGAACGACGTGAAAATACGCGAATTAGGTGTGTAAATTAATTCGTGATCCTTCAATTAATTATTCAATCAAAACCGCCATCATTTATTCGAGAGGGGATCTAACAACGGCCCCAGAAAAGGCATAAATGTGTAGAAACTAATGAAGAGTATTTTCGATACTAGACTGTATTTCAGTCTTCTATAAATAAACAACAAATCTACGAAAAGAAGACCACGAATTAATTCGTACACTCACGTGCAAAATCGACTTTCGCCACTGGGAAAAACTTGAACTGCAATTCTCCCAAATATTAGGAGACCCTTCCCCTACGCCGTTTTTTCTCCCAGAAAAAGTTACGCTACACCTAAACCACATCCGAAAACCAAAACCCAATATCGAAGTACCGTCTATGATCTTGAGGGTACATCAAAGTCGCAATGGGCCAGTCCCATAAGGCGAGGAAAGCGTTCGGTCAGAAACGATGACTCTCAATAAATCCGCCGCGTGGATCGTCGACAATTTCGCCGGCTGTTTGAATCCACGACTGTACCAAGCCGCGATATACACACTGACCATGGTTCACGCACATCGGAATACGTTGACTTACAGCGTCGCCGTACAACACGCGTAACGCGAGAACCAAGTCAGAGAGAGAGATAGAGAGAGGTAGGGACAGTGTAAGCGAGATGGGGATGTGAAAGCGAGATAGAAAGATAGAGTAAGTGAACGTCAGAGAGAAAGAGAGAAAGAGAGTGAACGTGAACGCGCGCGCGCTAGCTAGCTAGCTAGCTAGCGAGCAGCCAGGCGGGCAGGCCAAGCAGGCAGGCACGCACACATTTAGAGATCACGGGGGCCACAAATGCAAACGCGGCCCACGCACACCGATGCGAGGAGATGCAGATACGTCGTCGTCCCCGGGGTTCTTGACCCGCGCAACACAGATAATACTATACGCATACGTCATACGGGTACGCCGGGAAGATGTTCTCTCTCGAGAAAATATCGCGGCGCGGCGAGTACACGCGAGCTTCGATACGAGGAAACTAAGTAAATATATCCCCGCGCGGATCCGCGCCACGGCTAGCTGCCGCGCTGGTCCCTGCTTAATAGGAATCCGAACGAATTTTCCTTCTGCCCGGGTTTTTTGTGTTTTCGTTTTTTTCTTTCGTTTCACTTTTATCAGGGATAGGGAGACGGTTTGCAGGCGAGACTGTACGCTGCTTGGTGATTCGCCTGGACGTTAAAATGGACGATGGACCGATGGAAATTTTATGGGGGAGATTCTTTGGGGTTGGGTGGTTCTTTGGATTTGAATTCGTTGTTTTGGAGGATGATGGAGAAGTTGACCCAATAAGGACCGAGTAGAATGACACGATTTTTGTAAGGAGAGGAAATTCTTGATGAGTGCTCGAAAGCTTCTCGATATTCACAAGGAATGGTCCTTAGAAAATAGAGCTTGGAATTCTGAAGCTAGTGATATTTGTTGCAGGCGCATGTGGCCATTAGTTTATGAAATATTTTGTGTTCGGTGACGAGGTACCTTCGAACACTCATCGAGGATTTACTGTATGGCTTGTTGCGGTGCAATACTCATTTTAAAAGTGCCTGAAATGCTGGGTTTCGCTAATGTGAAGTAGATCTCCAAGTTTTCAGTTGAGAAATTCAAGTATTCCCTCGAAAATTAAATGAAAACAGAACAAATGGGTCTATTTAATATATTTTTTACTTCAAAATAAGAAAATTCAACAATATTTATGTCATTTATATAATTTTGAACACCCTAAAAAGGATGAGAGAAGTACCGACGGGAAGATTATTAAGCAAATCCCTGGTATTCCCTTTCGTAACAACGATGTTACAAAATTAACTGAAAAGATTGACTGAAAACATTTGCGAATGAAATGTTGCATTAACGCGACATTGGTCCTTAATGGGTTAAACTATTAGGTCGTAACACGCGAAATATCCGTTTCAACGCTCTAAGCTGCATCTACATTATGTATACAGCAGAACACGTCATATAGCAATGTTATAAATATACTGCGAATATTTATGCAAATATAGAATTCTACGGATTAATTTCTCGAAACTGGACGCAAAAAAGAATTTATTTACCCTGCTAAGGGTTTTAATAATGTCGAAGTAAGAACAAGATCCAAGTAAACTTTCTGAAACTTTTTACTGTGCTGAATTTTGAACAATCGAATATTCTATAAATGCATAAAATTCGCAGTCTAGATATAAAATTTGTTAGAAAAACAATTTGTTTCATAACACTATTTTGCTATATAGTGCAGACGCAGCTTTATATTTTTTTAGATCCTATCAAGAATCGTATCATTTGCTTGCAGTATGGGTTTATATAAAATTGAATGTAAAAATCTATGCTCTTTTGTCTGAAATAATTCTGGAAGTTCGTCAGGTATTCTCTTTGCAACGGTGCAATGAATACGCAACGAAATTCGAGAGGATTTCCTTTATGAGTTTAAATTCCGTCAAGCTGCACATAATGTTAATGCAGCTTTTGAGGAGAATGGTGTTAAAAAACGTACTATTCGTCGTAGGTTTTCAAAATTTTCATGAGGTGATACCAGCCTTGAACAACGAAGGACGAGGTAGACTCACGAAGAAGAATAAGAAACGACGATTTGAAGGTCCTTTAGTTAAAGAGAATCCATCCAACTCGCAAAATTTGCTGCGCAACTTGATACAAATGCTAGAACAGTATCGAAACGTTTGAAAGAAGTCGACAATTCGAAGAAACTCAAATTACAAAAAAAAGCTGAGAAATAAACGAATATTTCATGTGTTACGACCTATTAATTATTCGTGATCCGAGAATAGAGTAGATTAGAGTACCTATGTGTTAATAAGTTAGGTTCTTCAAGGTTTCTTTTTGGATATTTTAACGTTTAGAAGACTTTCAACCGTGTTGCGCTTGGAAACTTACTTTAATTTATACGAGAACACTTCGGAGAGAACCGGAACATTCAATTGATAAGATAAATCTCCTCCTTTGATTCTCGTTCGTCCGCAGTTGCGAAGAAAATCAATTATAAGAAGTCAAGCTCCATCAACTTTAATATTCCCCATCAATTTTCCGTGGACGACTCGCTATGTTCCGAATCACCTTGCGTATAGTACAGTCCCATTAAGCGTGCCTGCGCAATTATTTCTCAAAAACAAACATAAAAATGTTCTTTAACCCTTTGCACTCGTGATTCCCTAATATCCCGTACACTCAGTTCCTATAAAACAGTCAATCGAATGCAAAGGGTTAATCTAGGGAATCTAGATCCTTCTTCCACAGATCAATTTTACTAAAATTATTACACGTTAACCATTGCCAGAAACAGCTGACTTTTCCTGCAATTTCATTGCTCGAGACATCAGAAATTTCTCCACGAACGCATGATATCAGCTTAACTTGTCATCTTTAACCCGCAAACTTCGAACACCTCGTGTCGATACGAGCATGAAACACCTTTGTGCACGGTTCGAGGTGTTAACTAGACGGATTTTGTGGTATTCCTGACGAACGAAAAAGAAAACCAAAAAGCAAACTAACACGAGTCCTCCTGTCTTGCCCCGATAGTCTCGTGCCTCTGCGGCGGGACTTGGTGGTGCGGGAGGCGCCGGCGGTGGCGGAGGAATGGGCAACATCAGCGAGCGCACCCTCGAGGAATGCTGGTCCACCCTGCAACGAGTGAGTTGAACACTCAGCCCGTTCAAGATCCCCTTTATAATAATAATTTATACATATATACACAGGATGTAACAAAAAAGTTGGACCGGGAAATGGGAGACTCGTGAGGTGATTTGAAACAAGTTTTTCCTTAGGAAAAATATTATCCGAGGCTTTGTTAACGAGATATTAAGGAAAAACCCCGACCAATCAGAGCGCCAGTGAGTTCCCGCGGTAACGTTGGCTACCAATCGCAGCGCGTAGCCATCGTTACCGCGGGAACTCATTGGCGCACTGATTGGTCGGGGTTTTTCGTTAATATCTCCTTAACAAAGCCTCGGATAAAATTGTTCCTAAAGAAAAACTTGTTCCAAATCGCATCACGAGTCTCCCATTTCCGGGTCCAGCATTTTTGTTACACCCTGTATATCTCCTGGCCGACACGCAGCTTCTAACCTATCTCACTTTGTTTATCTGTTCACTCCTTTTTTCTTTTTGCATTTTGCCGATTCGTAGAGGCTCCGTTCAGCACAGTCCCATCAATATTTTCATCGTTTTATGGTCGAATTCTTTTTTCGTTATTCCAAACACTGTATTATCCGTACACCTCCCGCACGTCTCAAACAAACGACCACCATTCTTTAATTTACCGTGGATCACCTCTCGATTAGACCTCGTTTCGTCGTCACTGTCCCCCTCGCTGGATCGACAAGGTATCAGGGGGACATCGCTCACATTGTGTCGCACCTTTTATATTCCAAACTCTCCATGTTCTTTTTTTATTATTGCGTTCGTAGTCTATCTTTTATGTCACCCAAACCCCCGCTGGCATGCTCTACGTGCGTGTGTATGTGCTGTATTCCGTGTATGGTGTTTTGTTGTTGTTTAATCGTTAAGACTATCCCGCTGATGACGTCTTCGACGATCATTAAACGATTCTGGATCGTCGTCGACGAGCACACAGCTGGTGATCGTAATAATCGTCGACCGCCGTGGCGGTTCGAGCTCGATCCTCTGAAGAGTCTCCGCTGATCTCTCGATCCGCGGAAGATCCACGGTACGTAAACGTCGCGTGGAACGGTACACATACCCTGGGACGGGTCTAGGCTGCCACCAGTTAGGTGGACAATACCACGTTTAATTGTTCCCATACGCGTATTCCACGCACGACGCGAACCGATTTAATGGGACAGTCCGTCACGATCGATAGTAACCCGCTGCAAACACAGACGAGTGTCCCGCGAGTCTCGTACGGGGGCCGGTTCTGTCCTTTTACAGTTGCGACGGGGGCCGAAATGAAGGAAAAGGAAGCACCGCTAACGAGCCGTGAATCGAGACCCGGGACTACCGCGAAAGAACGGGAATATTTGTCGAAGGGAAACGGAGATACGACAAGATGCTCGAGGATGGATAACGAAAAACGGGGAAGGTTGATGAAGGGGGAAGATGTTGAAGGTAGTAGAAAGAGGAAGTCGATGTGGAAAACTTTTAAATTCTCGTAGCCGAGTGGTAAAGCAACAATTTGTTTCGCTAAGTAGCCAGGTGTCGTTCTTTTGTTTTTGCGACTTCTTTTATTCCCTCTGAGAACGACGAAGTGGAAAGGGGGATGAATGGAAAGGTGGAGAAGACGGTGGTTAAAGGGAAAACCACCCACACCTTGCTCGTCCATCGCCACCTTGAAAGCGAGGCGAGGCGGAAACTTTCGGAAAATTCGCAAAAACGCCAGCGCGGGATGGCGAAGTTTTCGCGTTTTCTCCGGGATTTAATTAAAACATTCGCCTCCTTTGTGGCGTTCCCAGGCACCGCGGATCTCCATCGGTAGGGGACAAAACGTTACGAGCGTCCGAGGTACACTTGGAACCCTTTTAAACCGGAAGGGACCGGTTCCTGAGTGATTATTATTGGTGCACATAATTGTGCGCGTTTTAGCTTTTGATTGGGGCTTGTCGACATTCGGTTGACAATCGAAATGTATGGGATTATCGGAGTTAGTTGCCTTAGATCTTCTGTTCGTTTATATCTTAACCTACAGCGTGACATAACTATAAAATGACCCCAAAATTTTCAATCCTTATGTATTGTGGTTAAAATAAAATCGAACCACTTCTTTTCTAAGGAATATAGTCTCTTTTTTTCTAGAGAAACATTATTTCTCAACACGATTTTAGACATGACATACTTGGTCCGTTTTTATTTTAATTAAAATACGTAAGAATTGAAAATTTTAGGGTGGTTGTATAGTTATGTTATGCAGTGTACCTAAAAAATCCCATATTTTTCAAGGTATTTTGGGGAGGTACCCACAAAACTTGTAAGGTACTGATTAAAACCTTTATTTTATTACGTTGTCCACGTTAGAACATGTAACAAATGCATAAACATTCGCTGTGTAGTAATTGCACAAATGATCAGTGTATTCCTAAGTACCTAATCGATAGTCTGGTTCGCTGTCAATGACTACCAGCCGGTAATATCTATCATAACGGCACTGTTCGTAATATTCATAAAATATACTTTCATCTTTCAAAATCCCACCACAAGATAACGCTTGCGATTACATGCTGCGAAATCAAGATCCCATCGATATCTAATTTACAACAATGCCTTAATTTTCTTCCAAAAAGACTGTTCATTACGAGCAACTTATCTAATCCAAAACTTCAATTTCCTACAAAGGTGCAACGATGACTCTAGTGTTACAAAAATGTGCTCGTTTTATGACCCTTTCTCTTCAACACTTCCCCAAAACATTTGGTTAGTTCCACCATGATTGTCGAAAAAAAAAAGAAAAACAAATCCATCGAAGGACGACAATTATAATCCCACGTGCGTGAAAAATAAAGCGACGGTGCGGCACCTCGTGGGAAAACAAAGGGCGCGAAAGAAGATGGAAAGTCGAAAACATTAATGCAGGGCAACGTTGTATAAACACTCGTCGACGAGGCGGTTCTCATAGCTCCCGATCGGGGGAAGTAGAATACACCAAGAGAGCAGGAAGAGGAAAAGAGAAAGGCCGGTGGTTTTTGTTCTTTCGTCGGCTACGAAAATTAAAATCCAATTATTTCGACACCTCTGCCCGACCCTCCGGGCGATTCAAATGAATTTTTTGCCGGGGACCTCTCTCTTTCGCCTCTAAATCTCTCTTTCACCCCGCTCTTTAAACCGGTTCGACGTCGACGGTAACGTTACACACACACACACTACCCTTGACCGATCCGTATACCCAATCTTGAATCGACGACAGCTGCCAGAACCGGAACTGCAGTGCACAGGGGAAAGACAAGGAAGACGATCGAGAAATTGGGGGGTAAAGGAGGAACGAAGGAGCTTCGTGATCGATGATCCCGTGGTCTTCTGCATACACGAATATAAACAAAATTCAATGAAATTCAAATCTTCGTGACCTATGCTGTATCGAGTCACATTCGACGTTCGCCTGGAGTTCCAAACGACTCTGGTTGCAGATTGTTCAGATCTGATATAAATTTCTAATTATTTTCACCTACTCAGAAATATCCTTTACATCAGCGAAATTTCCAATGAAACTAGCTCAACTGGCGATCAATTCCATCGAAGGTTCAATTCACGAATTGTCCCCTTATAACAAGGGGAGGCACGTTGGTGTCCCCTCCGATTTTGATAAAACTTCGTATGTCTGTTAAGCAGTCAAAAATAAGATATACGTATTTTTTTTTTATCGGCTGAAACGTGATTTTAAAGGATAAAACCACCCCTCGAAGTTTCGACCTGAAAGTACTATCTCGAAAACCAGAGGAGATACATGAAAACTTCTAATGGACGAGGTTTGCGTTTTTTTATGTAAAATAATATGGTGCTAACAAATCGTCCAAAATATAATTAGTTTATAACAAAATTGTTTCGGATCGAAATTTCGAGGGGTGGTTTCACCCCTTAAGGTCGCGTCTCAGCCGATAAAAAAAATACGTACCCTTATTTTTGACTGTTTAACAGACATACGAAGTTTCATCAAAATCGGAGTGGGACACTTCCGTGCCTTCCCTTGTAAGATAAACTGTAACATGAGGCTTCACAAAGAGTGTAACCAACTTCCTCTGCTAATCTCCGAGATGAGAGAGAATCAAAGAGAATAGACAAGGTGCGTGTTCACCGGGACAAAAGGATTCGTAGAATCCTCGAACGGAACCCGTGGACGTCGTCTTTCTCACGTTCGCGTCCCCCCGAAGCGAAACAATCTTTTTTTTTTTTACTTATTCGCCATCAACCCCGCCACGGTGGTTCCACATCGTGTGTTATTTAAATAACGGCGTTCTCGCGCGTGCCATTGTTTCACTAACCCTTCTACTATTACGGAAAAGGGGGGGGGGATAAGGGGTTCTGTTTCGAGTCGAAGAAGAAAACCCTGGCGAGGATGAAAGACGGGAGGGGCCAGGAGGGGAATAGAACTTCCGTGCCGTGGAGCCGTTACGGCGAAGGGAAAATTACGACATCTCAAGTCCAGGGGCAACCGTGGCCCCATCCGTTTGCTCTGCCGATGCCCGTGGCCAGAACGTACATACAAAGTTTCCGTGGGCTTTTCAGTAATTTTCTATGATTTTCAGATCGCATGATCGGTAACAATAACGCCGCAATCGTCCCTCCTTAATCGAATTGTTCGATCTTCGGTGGCAAAACCGTGGCGAATACGTTCCGTCTCCTTGGCGAATTGAAATGAAGAATAAATAAGAAGGGGGTGTGGGTTGATCGTAGGATTTCGGGGAAATATCTTTGCGATCGTGGTGATCGTGGAGGTCGCACAAATCCTGTTGATATGAGATTCTGACGTGTCCCTTTTGGACGATGATTCGGACGTTTTGGTGGACTTTTGGGACACTCCTGAAGACTGAGTTTTGATTAAATGAATTTCAATCGGTGCTAGACGCTGGTGATGTTTTACTTGTTGGACGATGATTATGTTAAAGGTAACGCGGCAGTAGTCGGTTAGGTAGGGGTTTGAAAAAATTGAGAAAAAAGAGTGTTTCAGTTTGGCTGCAATTGATGGC